AATCAATCATCAACGCAAGTTTTCATGGCATTTCAATTGCAGCACACCTGTCTATGTTTGGTTGCCATGTCAGAAATGGATGACGCATCTCCAAATAAGCACATGACTAACGAAAAATGTGCTAAGCATATGTCACGGGATTTTACTATTACATAATTGTGCTGTGATATAGGTTCTGTCATTGGATTGAACGCAGATAGGTGATTGTGCAAATTATGATCATAATATGAATCGTTCCAAACGCCAAGTAAAATGATTTATTCACGATAAATATGAGCGTTTGGACTATACGAGGCAACAAATTAAATTTACCAAACCAAACTTTTGAAGTAAATCTGAAACTCAACTAAGTGAACTTAGCTATACCGTATACATCTTCGTCTTCGATGTTGATAATAGGAGCAAAGTAAAGATGTCAATATTTAGTTAGGCGTTACAAATTTTTGACTTTTGTATCAAAAACTTTGCCTTCGGCAGAGAAATTTTGCTCGACCAATTGAGCCTGGTGCGATTTTCTATATCAGACAACAATAAATATTAGTTTAAGTGAATAGTTAGATTTTCCAAATAAAGTGGATTGTTGATCAATTTTGTGAGCGCATCAAACGTTTCTGTATATAAAACAATTTCCCTTTAAACATTGCTGTGAAGAACCCTAGTCACCATGCAATTTTTTTTTATATTCGTCGTACCCCCCTTTCCGAAAAAGACATAACAATACTATTGACTATTATTGCAACGAAACGTTTTGCAAATATCTAAAATGACGTCAAAGCATGTATGACACGTCACAATCCATGCAAAGCGCAGAAAGTTCTTGTCAGAAATGTTAGATGAATCATATGCTGTCAACATTCGGCCGTGGCTTGTCCAAGGTTCTATCCGTGGCCCTTGTTTTATGAATCTCTCTTTCAAAATGAAATACTCAGTACCAGTAGTAAGTGCAACCAACATTCGGATGACACAATATCTGCAACATGGCAAAACTGTTATTATGAGTGATAATATGAGGATTTAGTCATCTGTGTATGTGTTAGCTTACATATGACCAGTAACGATTACTTGTCACGATACCATGTGACAAACGATTGTCATCGTCTCTAGCTAAATAAATACGTCAATTCTAATTGATTGTCTGGCCTCTCGGTGGTTAGTATTCCATCATTGATTCTTAATGAATGACGCATGGGCTTTGTCCATTTTCTATTTCAACATTATAGAAACTATACTTTCACTAATAGCATGTCATACGACCTCGTTCCAAAGATCATTAACGAAAATATGCACAAACCAGCTCTGTGTTTTGAAATTTGGACATATATAATATGTTAAAATATATCACTTACATTCATGTATTATCACAATGCACCCAAGCTTAAAGCCCTATTAAAGTGTATCCCATCATCATGTTTTGTCACATTCTATTTCGTTTGGCAACTTTCCCTGACTTTCCGTCATGTGTGTAAGTGTGTTGCCATTTTTTCCAAATGAATTATCTATATATCTGAATTTCTAATGCAACCTATAGCAAGCCAGCATGTTCAAACTTTATTTAGTGAATTTCCTTTGCGTCTTCCTACGTTTTTGTCTCAAGTTTTTGCGCTACTAGCAACATCACTATGTCGAATGGCCCATTCCCGTTTACTCGGAGAAACGACCAACATCGTCAAAATTGTGTTACTCAAGCAAATATTTCATCCATCAAATACTTCAGTTCACAACTTGTTCAATTATTTAAAAGTCTGGGTGATTTTTGGTCAGTTTATTTCGGCCAGAATGTATGCTTCACTGAGCATTGTCAATATGGCCCGCCCTTCAGCGACACGCTATCAATAAATCTTATAGTCAGGCCAGTATTTTCAGATAAATATCAGTTATTTTTACTGCCACATTCAATCATATAGAAGTATTCCTATTTTGGTGATAATCGTGATTGGACGATTTCGTTTCCTTATCCATGTAATATTCTGTTGTCTGCAACTTTATTGCTTTTCAAATCGACGTGAAACGTAAGCTCAAAAAGTTGTTTAGTTTACTGTTATTCCATGTAACTTGAATGTCGTATATATACATCTTGTAAAAAATAAACACCAGTTTCAGTGCTGGCCATGCAACACATTTTATTTAATGCACATTACTGAAATTCAAGTATTTTTTTTTGATTATTTTTATAATTAGATACAGAAACGTGAAATCGATAAACGTGGCAAGTGTTGAAATGTCGAAGTCCGTAAATAGAAATATGGATTTTTGAAACGTTTTGGTTGCGATGATGTCATTCCTAGATTGTATTGAGGCATGCGCTTACCATTTCTATTCTTGGTTGTTTTTGCATTGCACGTGCATATGACTAAATTAAGTATTAGATATGAGGAGATAACAAGATGATTCTTATCAGATTTTATCTGCTGAATCCTAAAACGATTTAACACTAACGTAAGATTGGCTTCATTCCACCTGACCAATGACTATATTCATTATGATTTTCTCTGCTGCCTTCTACCTTGTCAAACCACAAAGAGTTTTAGGCTCATGTACTCGGCTGACTGCAAGATGGCAATCCATTACAAGATATGTTGCCTAGTCCTAATGAGCTCGATATTTCGCCTAAATTTTGGTATTTTCACAAGTATTGCGCCACCTCGTGACAATATCATAACGTCAGACCAGTCCGATATCGTGTCCAGGCAGTCCAGCAAAGTCATCACTCACTACTCAGATGCAATCTTACCGGTACTTACTTAAGTGAATTGCTGATGCGGCGAAACTTGATTTGAATTTTTAAATAATCAGATAACGGATTTCAGCACTGGCTACCGGTACAGTGGTTAGTCACTGGACTTTTGTGTTCATATATTTAAGAATTGATCTGCAGTTGCCTTGACGTATGTTATTTATTCATGTGCAAGCTGGGTAAAACTGGTTGGTCGAAGATAGGCGAGAAATGTTTTTATTTTGCACCCAATTTGTCTAATTTGATAAGAATGTTGTGCATCATCTCACTCCTAATTTCGTTCTATAAAATGAATTCTTTCCATATTCAAACTATTGCAGCTATTTTCGATATATCGTTATTATTCATTACACGATGCTGTGGTGAATTTGTCCAGAATTATACTTTTTAAGTTGACTCTACAGTTGCGATATCTAAACATGACATGACATTACTACAATGTTACTTTCAAGAAAGATGAGAATGTTTGAGTTCGCAAAATCAAAACGGAAGCCAGCCGTCACGCTTGGCGGAATAAAAACCCATGAATAAAAATTACACATCGAAATTTTGCGCGGAAATCTCAGAGAACAAATAGAATAATCTTCTAGCGATAACAATGATTAATCTTTAACAACTGAAATTTTTAAACCAATTGGCCCAGTAGTCATCGAGAAATGCGATTTTTTTTCACACGAAGAAGAACAAAGTTACTAACAGAATAAGAACAACAACATCAACAACGTAAAAACGAAACGATCCATAGGTCTACTTCTTGTCCATTGGGATATTTAACCAATTCCCAATATCTCTACCATATATTTCAAGTTTTATACCGCCCCAATACTTTACATTATCCAATATTACAGCGCTATTGGCGAAGTTTGGTCCAATTATTGGGTATCTATTACCATTGTATTGGAAAAATTGTAGAATATAAAACTTTTAGTATACGTACACTGATAACCTGGACTTGACAAGTTAGTCAAATGGCATGCTCAAATAGTTTGAAGGTTGATTTAAATGTCGCTGCCGGTTCTGCAAACAGTTCATTATTCCAACAATTGATATAAATGCCATCTCCATTTTCAAGAGTAGACGTTGCGTCCTAGTTGTATTGTTTCGAATCGGTAAAACGTCATGTGAAAGAGTTTAGGGCCTAATAGGAACAGTGTGATTAGCCAAACCGATTGAAAATGAATGTCTTGTCATGCTGAATCTTGCCTGTCCATATTTCATTTAAATACAGTTTGACAAATGACGATGCATCATCATTGGATTTATTATTAGACATTGCTATCGGAAAGCTTAACTTGAGATTGATGTACATAGTGTTTCGGGTATGAACACAAAGTCTCATTAGTTGAAATTGTCCAAAATTGCTGATTTACCACTTTTTACTGCTTCACAAAAAGTGTTAGAATGGCTATTTTGGTTTGTACTGAAATCCCGAAACGTTTGATAGGAACTCTGAGAAAGACATTTGGTTTATTCATACATCATTTTTTTTCACACTCCAATAAAACCTGGGCTGGACATATTCTGGAAAAATAGAAATTTCTTATATAGGTTTATATTGATAGTATTTTAGGCTCTTACATCTTTTGGGCACGCAGAGAAAAAAAAATTCAGTTCAAATAATCCCCGATTTCGAGATGAGTGCCAAATGAATGTGCAAGTCCCTAATAAGACGACAAAAACGCATTTTGGTGTTATTGTTATTGGATGATGCAACAATATATTCTAAGATATTTTATACCACATTAATGTGCAAATTCCTCATAAGACAATGGATGGTGCAATATGCAGTGTGTTCTGTTTCTGTCATATTTTCAATTGAAGAGACTTAACTTCAAAATAAGTAAAAATATTTTACTTTTCCATTGAATCAATGAGAATGAAGTTTGTGTGAGGCAAACCGGTTCGTTTCATAATAGCCCATAGTTGGCAAATATGCCTCAGAAAAGCCTTGCACCATATTACCTGCAGTTCCTGTAATAGCCATTTGTTGAATATTTCCAGTTACGCGACGCTCATTATCATAAATAAGGTGTTAAACGGGAGTTGGTTTCAAAATTTCCTCGAAGTCAAAGTTTCTTTGCGTTTTCCCCGAACTTCTTTACTTTTTTTTCTGGCAATGAATTCAAAAGCTTACACTTATTGGGAGGTCTGCTTGTGCATATGCTTCTTCGTTCGATTAAGTTTTTTGTGACATTTTTGACATTTTCTCCTCAAAGAAGCAGGTCCAAAATGAGTAATATACCATTGCGAATACATTTTGCAATGAAATTTGATATCGAACATATTCGAAAAATGAATGACAGTAGCAGGTAATTTTACACAAACCATTGCAAATTCACAGAAATTAAATTTCTTATTTGCTGTTATTAATAGCCGGTCTATTTTTACAATGTACAGGGAAGGTAAAACTATATATAGTTTTTTTGTGCTTCAAACTAATTTAAACACGTAGATCAAACTTGACTAGTACCGGATGTTTTATGTAAATACGTTTTTTAATTCGTGGCATATATTTTTAATATTTTTGTCCACTTCACAGATTCTACAGAAAACAATGGTTGATTATGCATTTAAAGTAGTTTTTCGACGAAACCATGACAGTAGTCTTATTCTTATCAGAAAAGATTATGCGAGCGAAATGAAAAAACGTAGAAATTGACTTTAATTTTATGACTAACTCGGAAATTTGGACAACAAGTTCACTGTGTTAAGGTTCGCACATACCTTGGTGCATTTCATCATATTTATGCCTACATGGATATATTCCTGTGGCTTTAGGGAATCAAGCCGCAGTTATATCTGCCGCATATTTTGGCTAGTGGTTTTCGATTGCTAGTATAGTTGTTATTTTTGACATCCGTATACGCCAATTAGAAGATCAATTTAAATTTTATTTTGGATGTCAAGCTAAGTATAGCCCGCTTGCGGTAAAATGTCAAATATAGCATAACGAGTAAAAATAGTGGAGTTGCGGTAAATAAAATGTAATTTTATATAAAGCCTAAAATGCAGCTCTTTGGAAGGTTGTTATTCAATATGGTCAATAATACGGGCTCTAAATATAAACTTTCACTCCGCAGCGTTTTATTATTAAGAAAGTATATATATATAGACAAGCCGTCTAGCGATGCTGCGATATTGTGACAATTTTTGATAATTTGTGCGATGAACGACATTATGGCTATATAAACAATTATGGGCCAAGCGCGATGTGCGTCTTAAAAATAGGATTCAGTTAAATCAACCAAATTATTATTGCCTGGGGTTGAAAATTAAATTTTTATTTCGTTTTTATTTTTAGAATCTCGAGGGATGGTACGACCAATGGAGTCAATATGACGTCAACGCCACAGGTCGAACAAGACACGAGAGTTGCCGTCTTAAAAGCGCGAAAAGTGAGTTTTTATAATCATGTACGGTATATGATTATTTTTATTTATATTTATCGGCACATCAGCTCATTCGGGACATATACATTCGGTTAAAACGGCTATAAGGCTGTATTATTGGTAGTCATTTCATATCTTCTGTAATCTGATTATGCAATCATTCATTTATTTTATCGTCTGTTTTGCTGATTATGGTAATCCACTTGTACTCTTTTACATGCTTATACAACAAACCATGGACGTGGGGGACACTGTATTGTTGTTTTTCTATTTATTTTGGAATAATGCACATTTATGATGAAGTCTGCTTGAAAAATATACAAATACGTGATAAGTAGATAATTATCATATGATACATAATTGCAAATACAACCACACGAAAATTTAGAAACAGGTCGCCATTACTGATGCATTTTTACGGAAGAAGGTTGTGTGACATTGATTAACTGTAGTTCGAGATTGAAATTGACTCTTTGCTTCATCTAGCGGCTGTGATGATTGGTATATAATTTTATAATAATGTTTTTTGGAATTATTTGCTTTTACAGGAAGCTGAAAAAGAAGCAGAACGTCTTGAAATATTGCGAAAGTTTCCTAATTCTCTCAGTGTATATATGGTAATTTTGACTTATTTATACAATTGGAGATGCTGTATTAAAATTTTCAAACTTTTTCAACCTTTTTTAACTGCCCTTTCAATTGAGTTAATTAAAAATCTCTCTATTCCATTTGTATCATATAAACAAATACAATAAATTCTCAATACGATTATCAATTCAATCCACACTTTTCGATTTCAATGTAATTCTGAACACGATACATTGAAAGTTGTATGATGATCCATTTTTCTTACTTCAATCAATCAATCAATTTTATTTGGTCACTCTGATAGAAACAAAACACAAACGGACAAACAAAATACAGAGGACCTGGAGGATGAGCATAACTTTTTAAAAAAGTTAAAAACGTACAAGTACGTGCCCGTCCACCAAAAACAGTCAAAACACAATAAAACATAAACACGATATAAAATCGGGCAATACTCTTAGATTAAATTTGAAATGTGAAACGTGTATGTGTAACACAACAGTGCTCTTCCTACAAAACTATGGAATTAAAAACACTCGCTGACGTAAAATGGTGATGCTGTAGGCCTAGTTCAATTTCATTGCAAAAAAAAATGACACAGTGACAAAAAATGGTACTAAAAAAAACAAGCTCGGTAAATAGATTGAATGTTCCATAGCAGTCTATGCACAAATCATGGATTGGTGTATCGGGTTCTCTTGTCGTTTTCGAATAGTTCAATATAAAATCATTGTATCCGTTCCAATGCTTCCAACATTGATGTCGAATTTCCACGAACGACCACCATTCCAACAGGTGCAGTGGTCCCATCTTTTCTGCGCTCTGTTCCATCATCCACAACTAGATTCATAAAAGGATCGAAACCTAGCAATATATCCGTAACAGATCGTCCACCATTTAACTTTGAATCCAAATTTTTATCCGTAAACTTTTTTTAATTCCGGTGGATGGGCTTTGCTCATGTTGATATTACCCGATACAAATACCGAAACATACAGCGCGTAGCATTCTCTAGTCCTTTCAAGCAGACGATAGTGCGATCTTTTATCTCACGAGTGAAAAATAAGTGTGAAGTTATTGTCGGCAATTGCAAATAAAAGCTGGAAACAAAACTAAAGAGCTTGTTTTCACATTATCAGTGCAACTTGCGGCTCCATCATCTTCGTGGGCCATATTCGATGCTATGGATGCTACTTTAAAGTTTCTTTGGTCGCTGGTCGGTTAGAGCTTCCTCTACCACCAACTCCATGCATTTGAAACAAATAACTGGCTTAACTAATCCCATTCCCGACATACACTGGTAACTGAACGAGACTCCGTGGTTGGTCATATGATTAAGCAGTCTTATGACTTTCCTCTTGAGATAAATATGTAAATCCTATCCCATCTAGGTTCAAGACCCTGGAATGCCTAGTGATGTAGGTGCTCCAGCACTTCAAAAAGCAGGTCCCAGTACCAACACCAAACCCCAGCAAGGTGACGATATGTGGAAAGTCTTAGAAGATCTACAAACAAAAAGAAAATATCTCGATGAAAATCTTGAAGCTGTTGAAAGGGGGCGTGGAGGAGAAAATATTGCTGCAAAAGTCGATTTTGAAATTATGTCAAAAAATCCAAAATCAGATCCGTAAGTGAAGTGATCAAATAGTTAGCCCAGAACTCACAAGTATTCATTCACTCATATTTGAAGTGAATGAATAGTTTATATGGATTACTTTGTAAACTTATGTCCCCCCCCCCCCCCTGTGACTAGGAATGGTTATTTGGGTGTTTCCTGGTACCATATTGTTTTATTACTGCTCTGAGCTTTACCAAGGTTATTGCTTAAAAATGGAATCTCTGGAAAATTTCACAAAACAAAACTAGCCATAACGTTACTTTACAGTTTACACCCTTTATTCGACTGGGCAATTTTAACATTGAGCTCGTAACTTTAGTTTCTTCCATTTATGGCTAACCTTTCATTATATTGTTTACATATAGGGCTTTGGTTGAAAAACTTCGCATCAGAAAGATGGTTGATGAACAGATCAAGGGCTTAGAAACACAAATTAAGGTAGAGTTCAATTATTATCAGATTTAATTATGATAAACAATGACAAGTATATAGCGCTTAAAATTCATGGAAAAAATGGACAGACATAATAAAGAACCTATAACAGGAGTGGGCAACCCCTGGCACGCGTGCCAAACTTGGCACGCGAGCACATTTATTCGGCACGCGAGCGAGGCCTCGGAAACAAGATCATTCTCCTTCAGGAAAAAAGTTTCGAAACTCTGAATTATCTGATGAAACTTGGTGTTCGTTTGTTAACCATCCGTATTTATTTGAACTATTTTTGTTCTTTCATGCAATATATATGGCTACAAACAAATATATATTATGATGTAACAAATGAGTGGGCTGTTGAGAAGAGCGCGGCATTCATTTGGCTACATTCTTACATAATATTGTTTGTCTGTCACCCTTTTCTTCATTTCTGCTTGATTTATGAAGTTGTACAGCTCATGTTGGTTAGAGTTACTTGCTAAATTACTATTATAAATTGATTTCCAAAGAAATATGAGCGATTAGGGAAAGGGAAACAAGAGAGAAGTGCAGAAAACGAATTATTGCGTGATTGGGATGCCATTCCCCAAAATCTTGCGCGTCTTAAAAACTTTGCAACTGCATTACTCTCCATGTTTTCATCTACATCTACATTATGCTTGTGAATCTCTGTTCCCAGTTATGAACTTTATTAGGTCTCGTGACAGGGGTAGCCTGAAAGATGGGTACCGTAGTTCGTGTATTTCTTCGAAAGTTACAAAATATAAATCCAATGTAAAATCTCTATCAGCGGTAATCCCACTGATATGGAATAAGAAAAGTAATCAAATCTATTTGTTGGACTGATATATTCCTGAATATAGTGAATCCTGTCTGTGCTTGTTTAGAAGGTTTATTATTGTGAATTTTTGCTTTAAAAGTAGCAAAGCATTGTTTTTAATTTTGGCACGCGGGAGAATTTTGTCGTTAAATTTAGCCGATTTTGGCACGCGAGCCGAAAAAGGTTGCCCACCCCTGACCTAGAACAACGAAATGGCTCATTTATGCACAAAAGTCCAGATGCAGGCCAATTATACAACAAACCACCGTAATAATTTATTTTATGCTAATCGAGTAATTAATTCCTCACAAATGCTATTGATCATATAAAATATGTCAATTTGTAATTTTTACCTTGCGCTCATGACTATTCAGTATGATCAATTGTTGAAATTCGAGAATTTTTAAATTCTTCATATTACTCAACTACTTCATTCATGATATTTACATGCTGATACTAAATCAAGTTTTTTGATAATACCACCAAAATTCTATGATCTTCTACCTTTTTACACTTAGAAATATTATGCGTTTTACCTAATATAATATGATGATAAAATACCTAATAAAAGATATCTTGTTTCTATCAGGAGGAAGTGGTAAAAGTACAAAGCAGGACGAATCTTGGTCGAGGCAGAGGAGGAAGATTACCGAAAGCAAAACCTGGTGCTAGAGTTGATACTGGTCTAAGAAAGAAACAACCTTTTCAACCAAAAGGAAAATTTGTCAAATCAACTAAAAGTTCACTTAAACCAGGTAATTAGTGGATAAAGGTGTTTGTGTTTTATCATGGTAATTGATTAGTTCTATGTATTTAATCATACAGCATAGGATTTTCATATTTACCTTGTCACCAATCCCGGGTAATCAGTTACTTATTTCAGACGCATGAACTTAATGGTGGAGGGAGCTGAAACAGACCAGCGGTTTCGCGAACCACCTTATGATTGTGAGGAGAATCTAGCAATCTTCTCGGACATAATTATTCCCTATGAACCAGCGAACCCATGCACAGTAATCATTGGTGTGATGGCAAGCTTGTTTTAAACGCGTAGATCGTTGCATCAACCTCCGAGACAGTTGCATCATAATTCACAACAATTTTTATTATGTTCGAAGACGCACCAACGATTACCATTAGCATGAGATTTAGGTTTGGAACTCGTAAATACAACATGGAACCTCTACTTAAAACTTCAAATCCCATCAGTAGTTTTGATCCATGTTTCCATACAGCAAAAAAATCGATTGGCTATCACTTTTTTATCAATATAAATTATCTTAACACGATTCATGTAAATTTCAGCAGTACGAGCTCGATCGTCCTCGCCTAGAACTCATTTTAATGCAGATGAAACAGTGTGTCCTGATGATGAAGAGTTTGTCACTCATGTTTATGGGAGAGCTGATTATCATCCTCGTAGATCTACAGTTCATAATCCATATATCCATGTCAATACTCCTGTCAAACAACCGACATTCAGAAAAAAACAAGCCGTAGAAGTTGTAAAAGGTTAGTTTTTAGATTGATCAGGATTTAAGTTACGGTAGGTGAATTAGTTGTGATTTGTAGAAGAATTTTTCTTAAAATGAATCAATGACTACCAGGCTGTATAAAAACCTTTGTATGAAAAATGGTGTTCACTCACAACTTTGCTCTGATAAGAAGTTAATCAAGCAAGCTCAAAAGCATTCAATTTTTTTTAAAACTATGAGGTCATGGACTGTGTTTATTCAATCATTTCAGCGAACTTGATAAGATCTGCAAAAACTCAGACAAGTCCTGGTGCATCTCAACAACAATCACAATATTACTTCAGTCCTTCTGCGTCACCTGTCAAACCACCTATTTCGGTCAGTCCGACACCTGGTCAACTGATACCCATGGCAATACCCCTTGGTGCCCCAAAAATGTCAGATGGACATGAACCTGCTCCACTATTGATTCATCAAACTGATCCACGCTACGTGACACTGACGACTGGGTCACCTGTACCGAAAAGAACAATCCGGGTGTATAATCCTGCTACTGATGGACTGAGGAAACCAAACACAGCTGTGATTTCTGTTAGAGGTTAGGTTCTTTCATAAATTTGTTTCAGTATTTATGTAATTTCTTTACATATGCAAGTATAAAACTCAAAAGGCTGAGAAGCTGTAAACTATGCACAATTCATAGCTATGGGGTCTGGGAAAATATGCGATCGACATATCGCTCTGACTCGTATCAGTTTATCCCCAACTCTATTTTTAACTAATCATTTCAACTCGAGACTGCTTTTAAATTTTTATTTTAAAACTCCAGAAAGATTAAAAATATGTCTTTGATCTAAGAAAACATGACATGCTCCAATTCCACATCTCTGATTGGTTGAAGTTCATATACTTCGAGAATGAGTCAAGTCAAGTCTGAGTCATATGATTCTCGAGTCCAAGTACGAAGTTGAGTCAAGCACTCAGCTTGGTCCAAATAAGAATTCTTTGATGAAATGGCGACTAGATTCTATTATCTGCTACAATGTGCAATTTTTTGGAAGTTAGAACAGCATTTAATGGTTGAAATCGCAGAGCATTTTGAATGAAAAAGCACTTTTCCCCATTAGAAAAGGAAATAAAGAAGGGAGAAAGTATAACCCACTACATTCAACAGTATTCCAATAGATTGTGAACAGAAATTAGCTCTGATTTTTCTTGCACTGTAGTAGATACTTCTAGTAAAAAAGGGAATTGACTGCAAGGTTCATTATTAAGATATTTTCTGATACTTTCAGGTGAGGATGGACCTGATTTATCAGTGAGAAAATTGGATAATATTGATATCGATACACCTGATGTAAGTGAAGCCAATCTTCCTCCTGCAATGACTATGATTCATCAACCAGAAGGATTACCAGGATCATCTGTATTGAGTAGACATGATCAAGACGAATCAGAAGTAAGATTTATTAAAATATAAGTTTTTTTACTTAAAACAAGGTTCTGTAATGCTAACCACCAGTGTTCACTATTAGCGCATTTTTTTGCGAAAATTGCGAAACACTTTCGCAACTTTTTTTAGGGACTGCGAAATAGCACTTTTTTCCGATTTTGAAGAGAAATAGCACTTTTTTCCGATTTTGAATGGAATAAAAATTCAAAGTTAACAAATATTTTCGAGTATTAAGTTGACAAATAAGTAACATACTGGTACTTTTGTAACTCAATTCTGCATATCATAACGATATTTACCGGAATTCTAACCTATGAGATGCAGACATAGGAGATAAAGCTTTTGCATTAACTGCAAAATTCTTGTTTTATAATATGATTATTATACAAGCACACGGATTCCGCTTCTCCTGCAAAAAACGCTCCCGGGGCGTTTCTTTGAACGAGAGTGGTCATGTGACTATCAATGATATCGATGAATTCAAAATGACTATAAAAAGTGTTAGTAACGTGTTATAGTCACTTTGGATGAATTGTGACCAAACTGCACGATTTTCAAATCAGACGAAACTTTTAGCAGCATGTCACAGATTTGCAAAATCAACAAATTCACAAAAGACCATTAAATGCCATTTTATTGTAATCACAATGTTGAAAGGACGTGGCATTTTCCGGATTTTTGCGATATTTACACAACTATTTCTCATTGATATGCGAGGAGGGGTGGGCAAAATTCAATATTTTTTTAAATCGAATATTTTTAAGGAGTACCGAATAAACATAAACGTGGTGGAAACATTAAAAAATCGGCAACAAAGCCTTTTTACTGGTTAATTCCGTTGTAATCGCTAATTGTTAATGTCACCGATCGTTTTGGCGGCGATATCCAGGTTTTGGGTCATCTATATTCCCGCCCTCTCTTTTTTACAAATATTAATTCTTGTGGGTCGGCGGACATCGAAGTTTTATATTTTGGGTTTACCCGTTCGTTCACATCGGCAACAGCTGTTGAAGACATTGAGGACTCAAATTAACATTTGCGCTGGCTTTAATATTACCTATCAAGATTTGTAAATTTACCGTCCCAATTTTATGCGAATGGTAATATTATTGTCCATACCGTGATGCAGATATTTATTAAGACGATAATTAACCTTCTCATGTATTTCTATGGTGATAAACTTCGCAAATCTGAAATTGTGCCAATCCTGAATGTTGATTTGAAATAGTGATTGAATAATTCGCTATAAAGGCATTTCTGCGTGGTCATAAGACGAGATGACGTTAATGAACAGCACTTCTTTTACAGGATATTTCACGTATGCGACTTATTGCTAAAAAGATTGGGCTCGAGTGCTTTTTTTTCGAGTGCTCGAGTGCCTAATAGAGGTCAGGCGCTAATTGTAACTAATTCCCTCAAGTTTCAACGTGTTTCAACAAAAAATAGCCCGGCGATAATTATAGCTAAAATGTCACCGAGCAATTCACAATTTTATTTATGGAATTTGCAAATTCACCAGTTTCTGACGATTTGATATTGTCACGCCCTAATTATTAGTGCAAAAAAATACTCCCTTCTTCCGCGGCGGTTTGACGGGTTCTTTGTTCCATTCTTCAGAAAGTTCTGACACGGGGGATATAGAATACTGAATCCGGAGGGTTGAATCCCTGTCCACTTACTGGTGATTTTCCGTTTTGAAATGCGTGAAACATTCTCTATTTTAAATTAAATGACGTTTCGCGGGCTAGAGTTCTCCCCGAAAATGATGTGTTCCAGACGTTAGTTATAGACTATAGATAAAACATTAAATTAATAATTTTCGTGACGCCCCGTTTTCGAAAATACAAAGTTATATCTCAAAAAAATGCGTTATAATACATTTGGAATGAAACATTATTTACGGTGAATTCAGATCACATTTACTCTCCATGACACCCGGTATCCGAAAATACAGTTGTATCTCGAAAAATGTGTTTTGTTACATTTAAAATAAAACATTTTTGCAATTAATTTAGATCAAATTTTATCTTTCACGGCAACCCGTTTCCCGAATATACAAAGTTATATCACAAAAAATGCGTTTTGTTACTATTATTTTGCATTCCCAATAAAATACATATTTTCCCTAATTAAGGTCGTCGATGTATCTGTTCCTGTCGTTCAAGCTCGACACACGTTTGGATGAGTGTGGGGCGGTTTTTGATCGACGATAAATTAAAAAAGTTGCCACACGTTATTTGTATAACCATAATAACTGAAAATTAAGATTTATAATAGAAGTGAATTTGTCTCAAGATGGTATTTTACGATTCCTGCCCACAGAAAATAAACACGCTGACAGGCTTGGTTATAATTGATATTCGTTTAATTTATTTTACACTATTAATAAACGCGCCACACCAATTGCGACCATATAAATTGCAGTCGCATCGGTATGGACTGTATGTTTTTGGCGCTCTCAAATTAATAATAATTTTCAACAAAACAATACCCCGACGGTCATTAAGCTGAATTCGTTACCGAATAATTCGCAATTTTATTTACGGGAATTTGCAATTTCAAGATCTCACTTGACGATTTTGATGATGTCATGCCCTAATTATTACTGCTTAAATGCCTCAAAATACAACAAATGTAATCATTTTCGACGATAACAGGCGCAACAATTCGTAAACGAGCCGTTATAACGAAATTCGCGATTGATTTTACCTCTCTCTTGTTTACAATTTTAACATCCCGCCGGCCATGATTGTATGGTCGAATAAAATGTTCACATATTCGAAACATGACTTGGCCAAGGATGGAAGGGATCACTAAAGAGCTAATAGAAAGTACATACGCGAGGGTATGATATTAATATTGAGAATATTTGTGAGCATATCACAGGACGGAAATATTTTGCACCCGGCTGTTTGTTGGCAGAACAACGATACGCTAAAGTTAATTGATTGATCGAATACAGGGAAGTATTCATTTATCATCTCACTTGCGAACATCGAGGTTTTGGCGGAATTCATGTTGTCTTTCTTAAATAATAACTTTTTCAATAAATGTTCATTTTACTTTTGCTTCCTTATTATATATATGTCTGGTTTTCATTTATTTTAAATTCGAAATTGTCCGAAATACTTCAACAGGTGTATAGGTACAATAATAATAGTACTTACCAAAGTACCTACCAGGGAAGTTTAATACACACGATGTGTAAAAGGCGTCGTAACTCCCGTTTATTAATTATAAATTTGTTTACATTCTGCTTAAAAAACAACGGCAGTCATCTCACGTAACTCTCGCGACCAAATCTTTTTTGTTTTGTATGGCATCGTCTTGGCGACAAATTTATTGCCGACTGAATTTTAATTGTGTTTTAGGTTAGTTATTTTCTGTTTGTTGGTTTCTAAACTTTACAAACTTGGGTAGCAATTACTATTAATGTGAGATTTGTGCATATGAACGATTGAATATCGCGACTGGATGTCCGATATCTGAGAATGCGTAATTCTCTTTCAACATTAATTTTCAGGATATCAGCGTTCATGTGGTCGAATAAAAATTATTTATCAAATGGATTGGTATTTCGAGACACTTTCAAAATTATTTGGGATCCATTATCATATCATTCGTTTATTTTTTATATTCATGTTTTTCTCAAGAATCACCCTCGTTATATTTAGTGTACCTTCGCAAAGTAAACTCTTTGATGTCATTGTTCCTATTAGTGTAATTGAAATATATGGAAACCTCGCAAGTGGCGTTGTGATGCGAATATTTGATACTAGGTCAGCAGCATTACAAAGAGTGCTATTTATGAATGGCATTACATGACATTACTAAACATTTTGCCAATATATGATGTTTTCTGCCCGATTTAAACTAACTCGCACGCAAACCAAGGCATGTGGATATTTAAAAATTACTTGTCTTTGTGTAAGCTCTGAAATAGTATAATATAAATGTAAATGAGAAATTAGGTCACGCTAGCTCACGAAACGGGAGGATTTTCAAAGTGATCTTGTGTAATATTTCGGAGAAAAAAGTTTGAAAGGAAAGTAGGTCAACCTATCTCCTAAAACAGGGGAGTATCCTGCATAATATTTCGGAGGGAAGGTAGGTTAACCTATCTTTTAAAACAGCGGGTGGCGACTTTCAAAGTGGTTCAAAATCACAAATTAATAATTATCAGATTAGGTTTAGGGATGAATCGAAAAGTTGAATTTCCAGCATTTCCAGCGCACCTAACCCTAATTAGTTGATTGCTATTTATATTTGGGGGGGGGGGGGGGGGGGGGGGGGTATTTTGCACCGGATTTGTACAAACGATCCACCCTGTAACTAATATGGTTTCCAGCCGGCCTCGTGTCTGTTAGATGGAAGGAGTAACAAATGTGAAAGTCTTTGCTGTTTACGCGAGTAAGCAACTGACACCGTGATACATTGCATGAAAGTTTTGTCCACAGCAGGTGTTAGCAGATGTCATTTCGTTGCCGATGAATTCACTTGTTTTAATTAAACATGAATTCGCTTGAAGGGAACTCGTTAACGAAAAGGCTTCTCTTTAAATCATAATATTAACCGGAGGAGCGCTTTTTCGAGTATCTATGCCATTTTAAATGGGTTATATGAAAGGCTAGGGCACCTAACTTGTTAAAATCGGCAAAAGCACTTTCGCACTTTTTTTTTGGACTGCGAAGCACTTTCGCACTCATAATTTGCTTAGAGTTAACACTGCTAACCACTGTTAGATAAAAGATAGAGAGAGAGAGTTTATTTTTTTTGTCAGACTAATAAAAAAATTTTGCATACATATATAAATATTTCGAAACAGATGCTTTTCGGTACATGACTGGGAGGCAATGATCCGATTCATAGGGGTCATAGGAGTCAGTTGCCACCCAATTCAATTGAATGAGCATAAAAATAACAGGTTCGGTGTCGATATATACCTATGATGTTTGTTTACTGTATACAATATTTACATGTACCTATGGTGGTACATCATCATTCTTTCAACTAAGGGAATTTGACACATTTTGAATTTGTATTGAATTGTCTGTTGTGAATTTGCACATTGTGGAAAAATGACAAGATATGTATTGTTCTGGATTTAATTGATTACATAAATGTATAAATAATTGTGTAACGAGGTTCAAACGTAGATGTACACTACATACATGTTCCGATCACAAATCACACATAATTCTCATTATCCACACAAAAATAAATAAATAAATGAAAAATCAAATAACAATAGTACTTGCCATTACATATATATTAAACCATCAATACATTTCCAAACATTTTCATTAACATTTTCACTCGTAGGGAACTGATGGGAGTTTACATATTGAACTACGAGGTGGTTCAGAAGCTCAAGTTGAATATCATGGACCTACATTCCCACCTGTAGCTCCTCCTGACCCCAGACATCTGAATGCAAGCGATATTGCAGATGAAATTGACAAACATGAAATTGAAGCAGAGTAAGTTGGGACTGTTTTTTTAAATAAATAAAGAGACGCATACAGACCTTAAGTTACGGTAAGTAATGTTGATAATTAATTGATTTCAAATTTTTCGTACTTATGACATAGAAGTTGCTGAATGGCTAATACTTCTAATTTGTTGTGCTGCAAATATCTCACCCAATATTTCACCAAAAATTGATTTTTTTTTATTATTATAGGGAACACTTTTTATTCCATATTGTTTTTGACTGCCTCCGTTTTACATATCCACCGAACTTTTGAGCAAATTCAGTGCTTTCAGGCCTTATTGTACCTAAATTGATGCACTTCCTTCATTTCATTGAACATTGCTTTCTTTTTATATGACCAAGATACTAACTCATATTGTCTAAATTTGAAATCCTATTTGAATTATATCAGGACAGTACGCTGGGTGGAACAAGAGATTCTTGCAAGAATCCTATCAGAACTATATCCTCCTGGTTCTCAAAAGATCCAGGATGCTGGACCTGTTGAAGACAGAGATTCTGATGAACCTGTTGGAGATCAGTCATCAGGTGAAACAATTGTGATTGCAATTTTGGTTAGAAAGATCATGACTTGTTAATTATGTTATATAGGTACTAAAAGAAAGCTGCTCTTTACCAGTATACACTTAACTTATATGCTTGTTCTTGTGTGTGACATAGGAATATAGTTTATTTATTTAACTGTCTGACTCATATCAGTTTTGCTAAACAATTGCTCAATAATAATTTTCCATCCCCGTATAGCGATGTTGGTTAGATAATTGCCAAAATCATACCCAGCAAGTACCGACATTTATAGTAGTGCCACCAGTGCAAAATTTACATCTCTGACTATTTGAAATTAGATATTAAAATCTTGGGTGTTGTTGGTGGCTTTGAAACTTGTGTGTATATATTTTCTTATAATATGTGAGCTATTGTTTTGTTGAATAAAATAAACTTGATTTGATGATAGATTTATCTACAATTAAAACTAGTATTTCCTTACAGTTCTCCTCAATCCTGAAAGCCTTCAACTTTTCATTGATGCTGGATTACCTATAGATGAAGCAACAGTTGGAAGATTAGTAGAAGAAGAACTCGTTAAAATTTTACGAGAAATGATTCGTCGTCCTGCGCATGATCAAAGTACAAGACCTAAAACACCCATCTCACAACCATCTCCAGCTCCAGCCCCTCGGGTTCACACTTACCAGGTGCCTACCCCTTTACCCACTCCTGAACCAAGCCCAGTAACAAGTGTGTCGGAAAGACCAATAGGTCATCTTCATACACCTTCACTGACTCCTGAATCTTCAATGGCAGAGTCTTTGCCTCCAAGAGAACCATCACCTGTTTCAAGTCCAGAACCTCAACCTCCAACACCAAAAGCAGAATCGCCACCTAAAACACCTGAGGAAGTTACTCTAGTTCAAACACCGGAGGCAACTCCACCAAGTACCCCAACTCCTGAACCAGTTTTACCTAGCACTCCGATTTCTGAAAGAACAAAAACACCGGTCCCTGTCACCCCACCTCTAGAATTTCCAGATCCTTGGGGAGGAACACAATTCCCTTTGCCAGAAGAGATTGGTGCCAACCTAAGGCAAGGAAAGTAAGTAGATTGCACTTTCTTTAAGTTTGTAATTGGAATATATCGGAGCAAGAACAGCGTCCATTTTTCAATTTTTTTCCAGTTTATCAAGGTTACACATCATGTGACAAACTGAAAAATCCTAGCTATTACTTTAAAATTGTTTGATGAATCAGCTTTAGTTGTTACCAAGACTGTGGTATAGAACAAAGAGTCGAAAACAAATTTTGACTTCAGGCTAAGGGAAATTTTGATTCATAATGCAGTTTCGAATTCCCCAGGAATTCACATTTTGGTAACTATGGCTTAAGCAATCTTAGTCAACTGAATATTTTTTTGAGTTTTGTTAGAAAAACTATGACTTCGATTATATCAATAAAAAGTCTGAAATTCTCCAGGGAATTCAAAGTTTCAACTTTGACTCTTGGAGTTTGAAAAAACGATGCTGGCTCTGTCTCAAATGTAAACATTTCAAACTTCCCATTGATCTATCTGATGTCCTGGTGAAAGCCAAAATACATAAAAATATGTTATTTGATTTCCAGGCCGACAACATTTGCACCTCCACCTGACCCAGTAGATCTTGTGGTGCGAACTGTTACGCCTCCCCCATCTACACCTCCAGACAGGTCACTATCTGAACCTGACTCAACAACAACATCAAGTGATCGAGGAGAGAGTAGTATATCGGAAGGACAACTCGTAATTAGTCATGGAGAAATGAGACCCAAAATGAAAAGAGGGCACTTGCCAGGTTCGGTAGTGAATTTAACATTTTGGGATGTTTGTTGAATAGATTAGGTAGCGAACAACTAGATGTGTTGTTCTAAAACCCTAAGACCTGTTTGGTGAATTAAACCTGCTTTTGGGAATAAATTAGACAATAACGAAAAACTTTTTTTACTATTAGAACATGCTATTAGTGTCCTTCCGTTGCATGATCAAATGCGGTTGTTGAACATCGTTCAGACTGCAGCATCCATTATCTACTAATAATGTTATTATGCTCTCACTATGGAGATGACTCTGTTTGTTAGTTATGATTAAAAAAAATTAGCATGGTCGGCCCTTCAACTATAGTTACGGTATATCATCTACATTGAAATTCTTTCTTCCAAATCTTTTTTTGCCCCATGAGTCATTGTAGATATTTATAGAATTGAAAATATGAAAATAATTGGGCGCATATTCTTTACTTTCCAAATTTGCAAATATATGTTGAGAACCCTATATCTACAATAATGTTTTTACACAACTGCTAATTATCAATGTTCTGATTTCATAAAGAATAAGCTTTTTCATATACCAGTGGAAACAATAGGCCACTAATAGCTTATAGAAGAGAGACTGTGACATTTCACTTAGTTTCTTTCCAGTTAGATCAGTCATGGGAACAGATAACCTGTTAATGATCCCAGATGCATAGACTGCCCTTGAGATGAAAAAAAAAATGTAGGCAATTTTACTATTCTGAACAATTTTCCATTCATCAGAAATCATTGAAGAATTGTTTGGAGATGAAGATGTTGAGAGAAGTATGAAATTCCAGAGTACATTACGTGATGTTAATGATTTGCAGGTAATACTATAGATTGACACTTAATAACAAAGACGGGAATGTTGTAAATAACAATGAAATAAAGAAATATGAGTCATATGACAAGTTGTATCTCACTCTCCTGTTATTACCAAGATTATCAAGTTCTGAGTCAAGTCACTCTAAGGTGTAGGCAAGTTTGAGTCTTTTTTCTGAAATGACTCTAGTCTTCGAAAAATATCAATCATCAAACTTAATATTTTATAGTGTCGTCCTAAAATACCAACTTAGTTTTTTTTAGCTATTAGTTTATCAGTGTCAATTGATTCCTTTTTTTAAATGAACTGCAACCCATGAATGAATTATTTGTTTATGTGACTCATATTATGCTAGGTCCTTTTTTCAAATCAGACGACATATTAGCCAATCATATATTTATTTATATATCTTAATTTAAAAATGACAACTTTTAGGGTCAATATCTTAATATTTTACAGGATTATGAACCATATAGTGATGGTGAGGTACGACTGAACATGAGACCGGCCATGATAGCTAGAGTTGCGGGCCATGATAAACCGGACAGAAGACCTTATCCGAGGGACTCACCTCCTGGTGATGATCCAGCAGGTCCCTACACGAGGCCCCGACATCCTCTACCCTCTGAAAGCGAGGGAGATGATTTAAGTGTGGGTGAAGTGAAACCTCGTACAATCGAAAGCAGAAGAGATAAATTTAGGAAGTGGAGACAGGAAAGGTTTGCAAATGCTCACTATCCAAAATTTAATAATCAAATTAAACAATTTTAACTACATCCAAGACTTCTTATAAGTAACTTGAATATCGTTTCATTATGAATGAAAACCTAACAGCCAGGTAGTTTTTCTCAAAATTGTCTTTTACCGGTACTACTATAGCGTGGCGCCCACCGTCATAATATGTCACCTAAATGCTGTGGTCAACCTCGTGCTATACTACTCATGCGAACTATGCTTGGGTTGCGGTAGCCATCTAAAACACTATTTTTGCGACTATTTTTCAGTCACTGTTGATCGAGACATTCCAAAAAAAAAGGAAAAATCATTGCATTTAGGTGATATATTGTGGTAGACTTCATGTTATACTAGCATTAATTCACCTCAATCAGACAGGCTGTAAAATGGCTGATACTCTGGAAATTAGATTAAATTGTTGGTATTTTGTATCTAAATTTTTTTTGGCACGTTTTATCTCTACATTCAGGTCACCAATATATAGTCATTCTCTCAGCACAAAAGAGAAAAAATCTTCAGCTAAACCCAAACAACAAGATGAATCTATTTTGCCTGGTTCTCCATTATCAATGGAAGATTTGCACAAAAGAGACCAATCAATTGAGTCTTCTGAGCCGGATTCTGATAGATCAAGCAGAGTTTCTGAACCAGAGGAAAATTTCGGTGGCAACGTTATTGTTGTGACTCCAGCTTCTTCGAAAAAGGTTTGTTTAGCCAATCTAACGCACGGGCCCACGAATCTTGGCTTTATTTCGGTTATGGTGGGTCTCAGCTTTGACAATAATGGGGTTCGCGAGACCCCTGGTTTAACCAATATTGAGCACTGTTATTCTATATGGTCTTTGATATGTTTTGTAATGTGGGTTTATTCTTAACAACGTTTCTTTTCACTTATTTAATTTTGAAAAATGAAAATCCGAAATAAACTGAAATAATGGAAACTACTGCCTGAATTTTCACTCTGCTCAAACCCAAAAGTCAGTGTAATATTGTCATTTTTGAATTCTGCCAAGTGCCAATATTAAAAATATTACATACCGGTAACTGTTAAGTAAAAACTACCAAAACTTTGAATGAAGTTTAATACATGAGACATAAAAGTACCACATGGGAAATCATGTTGGAACATGCTCTAATCGAGCTTGTGAGCAATGTGATATTGCATGAATGTAGGTGAATAAAAACGTAATGAGATCATTTTCGGCTTTGAGCTGGGATGCATAATTAATAATACATTAATATAATGTAGGACAGTAATTTCCCATTTTAGAGATACCATAAAAATCTACATGCCTAAAAAGTATTGTATTTTTAGAAACTACCTGAACAACCAAAGAAAATACTTCCTCGACAACCAGGTGCTGTGAAACCAAGGTCAGTATTTTTTTTTTTTTGGATAATTAAATTTTTTACAATATTTTTTTCATGAATAACATTCCTATATTTCTTATTTTACTACAGTGGTAGACCAGTTTTTCAAAAGCCTATTTCAACTTTCACATCAGAAGATTTCGAAAATATTGCTCCAAGTACTGATCAGAGTGCAGTAATAAAGGTAGAGTTGCTTTGTTCACAGTATTTTTTAATTGTTAATTTTGATTACATTCATAGCGACTGATATTTTAATGTACAAAATGTCAAATATTCGTGAATTTCCGACTTGATAAAAAAGTATTTAAAATGCTATAATTGAAATTAACTGTACCGTTTTGAATATTCAGTGAATTTGTATTTTAAAGCATATTGAATAATATTTTCCTGAACAAATGCTTGATACACACTCTCTAGTTTTAAAAATATAACTTTTTTGTGATTTTCATATTGAAAACTGTACTTTTTATTACTGCATCTCAACATAATTGAAATTGTGTTAAACAGGATTCACTGGAAGAGTCGATGAGAAAAAGAAATGGTTTTGAAGGATTTTTCGATGAAAAGAAAGGTTTGTTAACAATTTTATAGTTATGACATCATATCCCAGAAACAGGCTGATGAAGCTGTTTTTCGATCTATTGAATGAAACTCGTTGTACATTAAAACTCCGTGTAAGTTATAGCCATTGAGTAACATCTTGCTTACCTTTACCTCTGATCATGTTCATGACGACGATAAAAGGATGGTGTGGATAGATGATATCTTTCCAGAAATTTTATATTTATCCAACTAACCAAGAAAACATATCTATTTCAAATCTGCTGCTCACACAGGACACCCCTATTGAATTCTAACTTCTGGCCTAAGAACTCAAAAAACATTTCGTCTACAGAGCATTTGTCACCACAGCATGCTGCACTGAAAGTTTCATTGACCTTACCTTCTGTTGAACCTGTTGTATCAATGAGTAGTGAACCCATCAGTGATGTATCAGAAATATCTGGCGCAGGATTTTGAAAAACTCCAGAAAGAAGAAAAAAAAATATTTATGATGTAGTTATTACACCACTGTAGTTGGTCACACTAATTTATTGCGAAATATTTTTTTATACGTAGTACAAAGTGCAAAACAATGTTTTCACAAACGTAAATAAAACAGCAACCAGAGTATGTAATATTTATAAATTGTTTGCGATAAGGTATATGTATTATTATATAGACTGACAAAGGCAGGAATGTATTTCTATCAGAGTTTGTGTATAACAGCTAAAGTTTGCCAGATTATATGGAACAGTGTTTCCAAACCTATGGGTTGCAACAAAAAATATTCTGGGGCCTTGGTTTTTGTTGGTCACTTGGCAGCATTCATTTTGATGAGTAAAGAAAGCCAGGCCACCACTTCGAAAACTCGCCGATGGTAAACAAGCGCTGCCCTTACATCTGGGTAACTAAATGTTATTGAAGTATAAATAAATGTACTACAAGCTATTTTAGTTTTCTAGCATTTCCTTTGGTCACGAGACTTTCAAACAAAAATATGGGCCACTCGAAAAAAAGGGACCACTGATATAGAACCAAAGCAGATCACAACAATGAAAGATAGTGATCGTAGGAATCAATTTAACAACTTGTAAATCATGCTGACTATAATTGCTTGGTCAATAGGTTGCAATATCAGTGCTTCAAAAATTGGTTAGTGGCAACAAAAATACAATAAAAAAAAAATTGATATATAACGAAACACATTCATACCGGGCACAACAACTATTTAACTTGATTCACCACAAACCATGCTTAATTAACAGAAAAACAATGGGACACGAGTAGGAAAGGCTGGCCCTAGTTTATTGATGCAAATAGTGCCATGAATTGCCCTTGGACCCAGTTCTTGTGTAGTTGATGATCATCATGTATGTGCTATATTAGACCAGTTGTTAGTCATCAACGTTGCAGGAGAATTGTCATTCAGTCGCCTAATATGCTCTTTATTTCATCCACCAATGGTGAGATTATCTTCTCGTATCCATGCCGAGTTAAATGTAAATAATCATACATATCTGATATAGATACTGTGCCTTCAGAAGACACAAAACCTTCGGTAATATCAAAATAGCGCACTTGTGATCGATTGCTGACGAGTTTTTGTACAAGCTCATTTGCTTGTGAATTGCGTTCTCGCAACGGGTTTGGATATTTTCCTCTCGGCAGGATGCTCATAATAATGACAGTGCATTCAGGCTGCTTTCGTAACACCAAGTCTGCGATAGCTAGGATTCCATTTGCAATCTGTAATATAAAAAACATTAATCAGTAAAGCCTAATGAAAATAAAAGCGGAACCAAAAAACCTCATAAGCTGTTTAACATAGAATTCCACTCATTAAACTCATTCTGATTAAATCAACATTGTACAGCCACCTGCATGTTCATTCAACATTTGTTGTATGTATGTATGGTATGGTAGCTTAATTTTTATTATAGCAGATGCAGTGAACTGGGGTTACATAAACATTGACTAATGTTGTGGGGGCAATGAAGAAAGCATCTGTCCACCTAACTTATGTCTTATGCGTTAAAAAGTGTCATAAACAATTTTTAACCAGAGATCAAATGACCACCAAGCATAAATACATTTTTCATAGTTTAGGTCCCAACAGACAGAGACAGCAAAAAGAACAGTACAAAAATTTCATACTAGACAAGACATAGTCTGTTTCTGTTCCAGTGATCACATTCACAAAAAGGCATTATGTGAGAAAATATGCGACTTATATTTTCCTTGTGGGATAAATTTTAAATGACTGAGGATATTAGCAGATGGCATTAAAAAAATCTCCAAATAATCAACCACATACTTGTGAAGGGGTGTTGCCATGGTTATTAGTTCCACACCATATCACAACCACTTTTGTATTGATGTTGTCCAGTACTCCATTTTCTATTCTCCATAATACATGTTCAGTTCGATCACCGCCAATACCAAAATTCAGACAATGCAATGGAGCAAGCTGACTATCACACTCTGCATACTGAGACATCTGCAAAACCAGTGAATCTCCTGCAAAATGAAACACACAATACAGTTCATATAATCATTGTCATTTAGTATACTTAATAAAATCTCCTCTCTCTGTACCACACTGCATATAATTTTTTAAATTATCTTCATATTTATACTGTTACAAACTTACAGGTAAAATTTAGTACAGGGTGGTCCAAGGTTGTCGCCTTCGTGGGCCACAAAATTATTTTTTCATTGTTCGCGGGCCACAATAGTGTCAGAAAAAGGTAAACGAGGCAATACAAAACAAACACTTTTATTGTGCAAACAATTGATCATTGTTTGTCATTTATCACGCTAAAGCATGCAAAATACACCAGAAAAAGTATGAAACATGCAGCAAAAGTTTTTCTATATCTACGTTTAATGTAAGATTTCAAACTCTCCGAAAGTGCTTCTGCAAATGAAAGTGCTCTCGAGCATCGATGGAGTTCTCAAAAACAAATCCCTCAAAATTTGGGAATTGCTCACATGATAGCAAATATCGTTTTAGATTATATTTGCCATAACTGCAGATTTTATGATTATCGAATCTTACCAAATGTAAGGTACAGGACAGTAATTAATAATTTTTCTGACATATTAGAAGACTTTTTTGTAATACTGTTTAGGCTGGTTGCAGAAAATCACCAGAAGGAATTATATTCTCAGGCCATAACTTTAATATTTAGTTCTTATAACTGTAAGAATATATTAATATTACCAACCAAAAAGATAGAAAGCCAGTGAACAATTTGGACTACCCAAGCACACTATTCCAACTCACTAGTTGCTTCAGCTAGCCGTGACACTAGTCTATTCAGTGACATTAGTGATGTCGAAAAGATTTCCTGATTATTTTTTTTTTGACGAAACAACACCAAATGCAACAGCAAAGGCGATGCGGGCCACAGATAATGACGCTGCGGGCCACATGTGGTGGTGGGTTTGGTTGGGCAATTTGGCATTAACTATAATCAGCTTGTCAGTATTTTCCCAATAAAGATTTTTTCTTCACTATTCTCTTGTTTAAAAAATCCATATATTCATTTTGGCAACATTTATAAAATAAATAATATGGTGTGACAAATAATTTTTTTTCTAGTTTTTTTCTTTGTTTACCAAGTAATGTATCCTAAGTATTTCACATTTTCCATATTTTATTATACCCCTGCGCGTGATTGTATGTAAATTTTTTTAATACTATTAGGTGAGTGAACATGCAAATCTATATTTTGTATGATTTAAACTTTACTTAAGGTTTTGTTTGCTCTCCTGATTTAATAATCGGTTTTATTTATTTGTTTTTGTAAATTTTCATCGTCAGTTATGCTGATTATAGAGTCAAAATAAACTTATTCAAGTATCATGAATTGGTATGGTTGATGAAAATAAACTATAACAAAACAAAATAAACCAAGGCTAAAACTTGAAAAGCATTTTATGCAAGAAAATATAATTACATAGGTTGAACATCACCATGCATTGTCTAGTTTAAACAACTAGATTTAAAATTTGGTGCGATTTAACAATTTTCCTCACCATGCAGCCATGGGAAAAATTGTACAGCTATCTGATAATCCAGTCCACTATGAGCATGCCATAAACAGATAAATGGAAAATAGAAGAACAAAAATATCACAGTCTTAGTGCTATCCCCATCTGCTCAGTACTTCCTTGTGTCAATATGCCAAGATAGACTATTGGGTCAAAAATAAAATTGCAGTTCAGCAGTTGCAGATGTGAAAACTCACCTATAAAGATTACATTGGCTTCCTTCTCTTTGCTCTGGTGACAATATTCTTGGTGTAAATCTTCCCATCTTTTGTCGCCTTGAACATCCACAAGTTTAGTTGGTATTTTCGCAGTGTTGCCGCAATCCCCTGACATATTCCAGTATTCGGTACTAGTTAGTTTTAAAAACCGCTCTAATCAGATGAACGCAGCTAATGTGTACGTGCGCGCAGTCGGGTTAATAAATTAAAATGTGCTGCACGTCGACGTCACGCCAGCTCACGCGCAAAAATCCAAAGGATTCCAACGTTTGTAATTCTTTTCTGGGAGACTGATTCTTGCTTGCTAGGATATGATTTTTCTTGTAACTTATATCTGAAGAAAAAAAGGCGATAAGATGACTTACTAAAATCTAGTATCTCCGGGTACCAATCGGGTATGTGATTTAAACTCCAGTTCCAGATGCATTTGAGTGCATGTGGAGGAAAGGGTAAGATACCGATATTATGATAAAACTTTCTGGCTGATAAAGTTACCGGCAGGCTTTGCTGGCCAATGGCCATATATTTTATTTTGATTTCCGAAATCATTACCCAGAAAATGTGATACCCAATCGATCGTATTGTGGAGGGCAACATAGCTATTTACTAGTCTGATATTCTGTCTTATTGAAAATTGGAATTTTCTGTACTTATGAATTGCCATATATAAATGATGTATGAGGGCACGAAACTGTCACCGATGCCATCTTGAATATTTTAAATGTTTTCAATTTTGTTACTCACCGGTTCATTGGTTTTAGTGTTCAGCACATACTTAGTGTTGTTGTCGGCGCCGAATAATTAGTGTCTTAAAATTCTCCATAAAATCCCCATAAAATTCTAATACAAATTAGGTAATATTACAGTATAAGACTACCTTAATGAATTTTTTTTTATTATTCCGATTAAAGTCGGATTAATACATATTTAGCATATTGAGTACGGAGAGAGCTCGCTGATGGACCGCAGTCCGCGTTTAACACGTTAACGAGGAGTGTATCGACCAAATGTATACCATATATTCCCTATATATTCATCTTTTCGATCGTATCCAGATAACTTTAAATTAGTTGCCAGCTGATGTGAATTTTCTAATGTAAAACCGCAATTCCTAGTGCTTATGCACAGCGAAACATCTGCAGATATGAGAATAATTTATTTATTGAAAGTGATGACACATATTTTTGCACACGTACCAAGCAATTTATAAAGCAAGTAATTCAAGTATTTTATGAAACTACAACATCAATTTTATCTGTTTTTCAAGCTGAAATAATATGCACTGTTAATATTGTATCACTATTTTGTCTCGTCTGTCCCGTACGATTACTCACCACGGAATTCATTGATATCGGTAAATCTCTAGTCTCTCTATTGGTGATTTGGTAATACCCAAGACATCACATAACCTGTGCGCTTGTTTGTTGCCTGCAATTGCATTGGGCGATACAACTACAACTCAGTCATTTACCTTAACCTTTTGTTCATTTATGTATGCGTGTATATTGTCTATCGACTTGACAAAATAAATAAACTCTCCCGCTATCGGCGAATATCAAACTTTCCAATAGAACCTGAACTGGCAAATCGACTCCCACAGCGGCTACCCGGACGCACATATCTAGCCACGACAATAACATGAAGTGAAACGAAGATGTACCGAAATTATATCGACCCTGCTGTCGTTCCGTGTTCATCAGGTGCATCATTTAGTAGAACTACACCGTGTACTCGTACCGCTAATATCGTACAATATTCCGTCAGTCGGGATTGTCTATCTCCGTAGTCATACTTTGACACACTAATATTGAGATATTCTGTACTTAATTTTCCGATATGTTCTTATTTGTAAACGAATGTCTCCTATATCCT